ACAGCTAATGCCCCTTTAAAGTTAATGTGACCATACAGGACTACCTGAAAACACAGCCTTTTCCTTCAGAATATGCTGATTTCAGGCTTTCACATTTCAATTTCAGTAAACCGCGAAATCTGGGTCAATACCCTATCGTTTGGCATATATTTATTAAGGCTCACTTCATGCATATTAGACATGTGTACCAACTTTAAAGATGATGTCAACACAGCTTCATGGTAAGTATACCTTTAACCTGATACGGGACGAACGAATGGACAAACGCACAGAGCGGACAACATTTATTATACACCCCTACTAACGTAGCGGGACATGAAATATTGGCAATCCTATACATTTGATAAGATTCTTTCAATTTGTACGACTACATTACAATTGTTCATAAAACAGATATAAGAAGATGTGGTATGAGTACCAATGAGACAACTCTCCATCCAAGTCACAATTTGTAAAAGTAAACCATTATAGGTCAAAGTACGGCCTTCAACACAGAGCCTTGGCTCACACCGAACAGCAAGCTATAAAGGGCCCCAAAAATGACTAGTGTAAAACCATTCAAACAGGAAAACCAACGATCTAATCTATATAAAAAAAGAAAAATGAGAATCACTTATGAACCACATCAACAAACGACAATCACTGAACATCAGGTTACCTTCACTTAATACCCCATCACACTAGGACCACGATCCCGCTACGACCTCAGAAATTATGAAAATTTTGGAAGTCGTAGTAAGATCGTGGTGGTCGTAGTAAGGTCGTAGCAAGGACGTGCCAAGGTCTTCATGATTGCGGAAATCCACAACCAACTTTGAACATACTCAAAACATTCGTAGTGCAGTCGTGGCCAAAATTAGTCGTAGTAGAAGCGTAGGTAGGTCGTAGTAAGGACGTAGTAAGATCGGGATGGGCGTAGAAGCATCATCTTGAAAATCGTGGTGCAATCGGGAAGCCAATGGAAAAGATTTCGCTGCGACCTTACTACTATTACACAGCAACCATCCCGATTTCACTACGTCTTTATTACGCTTCTACTACGATATTGATACGATTATACTACAATTAGGAAGACAATAGTACGCTGCTACTACGCGCTTACCGTCCTTAGTACGAATGCCAAGTTACTACGATACTATTACATCCTAGCCACGATAATTGCACGACCTCATTTTGTTGATATACAAAACGGATGCAAAAACTTCTACCTGTAGTTCAACCATGCACACAGACACATGAACAAAACCTACTTCTGCAATCTTTAATTCTGCTGCACTGTATCGATTTGGCTGATCAGGCTACGCTTTTAGTTATAAGAAGGAGGAGAAGACATACTCTACTGCGTAGGTCCTGTTGGGTGCACCCTTGTCTTTCTGTTGACAAAAGACTCCAGTTTGGGCATTACGACCGACTTATGAAAGGATTAATGAAGGTTCAACAGTCATTCTTTAATTTGTTAAGGATGTCTCCAGAAATGTTTATGAACTTTTGAACAGAGTAAAGTCCTCGAATTCAGAAGATAGACACCCGATTCAGAAAGGCACTACATCCCAGTCTGAAAGTTGCTATTACCGCAAGGCACTTAGCTTCTGGTGAAAGGTATCCATCCCTTCAGTACGATTTTAGAGTCGCGCGCAATACTATATGTACTTTTATTCTTGAGGTTTGCTAGGCAACTGTATAGAAATATAAAGATGTAGTCATATCCTGTCCAACAGAACCAAATGAATGGCGAGCTTTTGTCGAAGATTTTCAGAGAAGATGGAACGTGCCACACGCTTGCGGAGCACTAGATGGAAAGCATTTTGCTATTAGAAGCCCGCCTTAAAGTGAATCCTTGTTTCATGACTATAAGTGATTTTTTTATTAGTGCTCCTTGCCTTGGTGGATGCAGACTACAAATTTTTATGGATAGATATAGGAGGATGTGGTTCCATGTAGGACACCATATTTACAACGTGGTAGAATCAAAGGAGTGTTTGGAAGATAAGCCTATTGGATTTCCAGAGTCAGATCCCTTACCTAATGACGATCTAAACATGCCATACTTCATCTTGGGTGACGACGCATTTGGGTTGAACACATTTTTTATGAACTTCAGAAGCCATATTCTAGAGCGCAGTGATAACGTAGTGGAGTCGTGGTTCGATCGTAGTAGACTCGTATCGAGGTCGTAATGCGACCGGGAAGGTCTTGGCATAAGCGTACATAGATCGGGTAAATCGTGGTAAGGTCTTATCAGACGTAGCAAGAGCGTGACAAGATCGTACTAGACTAGAAATTGTTACTATCGTAGCGGAATCGTAGCACGATCTTATCAGAATCATAGCAAGGTCTTGGTATGAACGTGAAAACTATGAAACATTGACTATTCAAGCCGAGCATACCACGATCTCACCGCGATCTTATTTTTTATAGATCGTAGTGGGATCTTCATGGACGGGGCTTTACATAGGAATGGTTCACTGAAAAAGAGTTTTTTTTTCAATTATGACAGGATTCTTATAGCGGACTTTTTTATTCCTTGATGCTCAATGCCACACTTTCCCCCAATGTTATCTCACATTTTGTATTCCGAGATTACTCTGACATCCAACGTCTGTTTTGGCCGTGGGACCCAGCTTGTCTGGCAAAACAGCCGTTGGACGTCATAGTAATCTCGGACTACACATTTTGTAATATTTCAATACAATAATGTTTCAGTATTTGATTTTTCAATTAAATAATGTCAATTTAAAAGGAAGGTTATCTAATTTTTATATTTACATTGAGTATTTTAAACAAACATTAAGCATTTGGCCATGATTTATCATTTTCTATCATATTATTTCGAAGCCAGGAAATTTATTCGCGCTTATCTGTTGAAGTAGTGTTTTCACTTTCCTATATTTAAATGTCAAATTGATTTAAATATTTGTGTCTCTAGTTACGAAGCTTTTTGTCAATTTGACTTGTACGTGAAGTAAAACTGGTTTTGGCTAAAAAGGACCTTGAATATGCTACAACCGGATAGTGATGCAACTTCTCTTCTCATTAGTTCTTTTCTGATAATTTTTTGAATGCATATACTAGCGCATGAACGAGGATAATAAAAGTTCTAAAAGTTATTTACATGTTTAGCATATATTACAGTATAATGTGCTTATAAATACCACATTATTAGATTAAGTGAACATATGATTGATTGATTGGTTGATTGATTGTTGTTGAACGCCACTGTTGTCTGTTTCATGGAGGTCAGTTATTATTGGTGGAGGAAGCCGGAATGCCCGGAGAGAACCACGCACCGACATTCGGCAGGAAAAACTGACAATCCTAGAAAATTAAGATTAGAGTCGAACTCATCTGTAGCGTGCCATGGCGGGATAAGAACTCACAACCTCAGTGTTTACATGCTAGTGGTGATACAGTAGTTGAACTGCTTAGACCACTCGCCCACCGATTCCCCTTTAAGTGAGCATAAATAACTGTTTTAAAATCCAGAAATCTACAGATGTATCCAAGTAATGCTGCAATCTTATATAGGTTTTTGATTTATCACCCAGAAACGAAGATGTAAGATGCTCTACGGACGGACGGACTAGCGGGTCAAATACGATTTACCCTATACTACTTCATATCTCGGGTTACAAAAACAACGTAGTATTTTAATGTTTTGTGTTCATATGCACAAAATACACACAGCGTAATTTTGCATATGTGCTATTATACTTACACTCACTGAACATTTGCATGTACGTGTATTGGCGTTCATATGCACGTTTTACACATATATGTCTTTCTACATACATATGCACATAAGCATACATGTGCAAATGTGTACATGTGAACGGGCTTTAGACACAAAAAACAATGTATGTGCACTTTTAGGTCAACTATAAGGCAAAATTAGATTAATTATGCCTAATTGTCATGCTTTCTGACGGATGTTTAAAGTTTAAATCAAAATTTCGATTCTCAGGTACCACGGGTACTATAAGACATGGAATGATTACTTCGTTCAATGGCGACATAGTCTAAGAGAAAAACGTTTTTTTCCCCTGCTTTTCATTGAGCGGGCGAACATTTTTACGCTTTACAGTTTTATTTAGACTCTTCTGTTTTTTTTCCCTCAAACATTATATATTTCTGGCTTAACAAACTTTTGATTATTAGCGTTATTCAAGAAACATAATTATTTTATAAATACGGTTTTTTAAAAATGCAATTGATAAGCGTTAGGATCATTATCTTTACCTGGAAATTCAAAAGTTTTTCGTTTCTTGATATTTGAAAGAAAAGAACTTGATCTAAATCATGTTTCACCGTCATTGAAAAGCAATCCAGCTTCCGTTCAAAGGTAAAAGTAAGTTAAAGATACAGTATACATACATGTACCATTCAATTTGCGAAAAGGGGGAGGGAGGGAAGAAGAGACCAAAATCGTCCAAAATATTTTTTGGGTTTAATATATATCGTTTTCTTCAACTACGCCCCTATATTCTCATTAATATGTTTACTCCAACAAGGTACATAAAATGTTATCCTAGTTAAATTCAAACAGAGTTTTAAAGCTTTGCACAAATGACCCCATGAAGAAGGCTTTGATTTTCATAATTTACAAACACATATTACTTTTTTGTACTAGATACACACACGAGGGCATTAGCCCGATTGAGTGTATCATATTTACGTATAAGACATTATGATAGATTTCAATAATTAAGGAAGGGGGTCGGTCATTCAGCAATTTTACCTTATGTTAAGGAAAACATGATAAATGCATGACATCCAATTGCACTGTGTAAATAGTGGTATCACCATATAAGTACGCCGTACAGTGACTGTAATTGTTAAGCCTGTTAACATCGTTATTTGATCTTTGTTTGATAGTTGTTTCATTGACAATCATATCAAATATCCTTATTTATTTTGATATGACATCAGTTATGATTAAAATCACGTTAGGGTTTAAATTGGGTTTATTGCATAGAGAATAACTGTCTATAAATAAACATTAAATATATAAAATATTTTATAAACAAAAACATGTAAAGCTTTCTAGTTTGAATTGTTTCACATGATGTCATGTCTTGACCTTTTAAAGCTGACTATACGGTAAGTGGATTGCTCATTATTGAAGACTATGTTTGCTTACATTCTCGTCATTTGGAATCTAGTGGATAGTTGTCTGATTGCCAATCATATCTTCTTATTTTTAGAAAGATTAAATGTTTATAGAAGTACTAAATAGACTTTAAAAATACCGATCAAGATCAGATAAGATCATTCATCTCTGACATTTATTATAAAAATAAGGAGATGAGATATGATTGCCAATGAGACAACTATCCACCAAAGTTCAAATAAAGTGGATGTAAACAATTTAGTTCATAAATATTTAGCATGTTATAAGTGTACATACAATTATATGAATGTGTGCTGGCAAACCAAAGCGTAATATTGTAATTATAAGCTGACTTTATCAGAGTTTTATCAAATGACAATTACCAGAGTTTAAATATGATCAGACAAACAATAAGATGACTTCCTAGTTCTTTATAACTTAAAATACTCTATCTGCTACAAAATCACCGATTATGGTACAAGTACGAGACTACAGTATTGAGTACAAAATAAGGAAGTTAGATTTTGAACAAAATTATCGCTACAGAAAGTTAACATAAAAGTACACAATTGCGTCCGGTTCATATTTTTATCAAGTGAGAAAAAAAAAGTTTGCCACATCTCTGGAGTAGCAACTCTTAAATACTTTTTATTTAACATATAATACCTGTATGACTTTATTTCAATAGTTGAAGTTTATTATATGAATGTTATGTAAAATACTGTATGTTGTATCAATTATATATGTTATGTGTATATGCCCCCCTGGGGACCTTATTTGGAAAATAAAACTTATCTTATCTTTATGCAAACTAATTGTTGTGGTTTACTGCTTTTCTACCTTATTTTCTCTTTTAACAATATATAATCATTTTCCTACCAGATTTCGACTTTTATTTAAAGAAATAGTCCATATAGGAAACAGACTAATCGAAATGTTGTCACACAGTGATACACTTCATAAAAGGCTACAAACTTGTTTTTTTGTAAATCAATTGCAATGTAGAATCGATGCCTATGAAAGGAATAAAATATTTTTTTCATTTGCTGACTTACCAGGTATCTATTACAAAGGCAATAATAAAAAGGATGGGGTCCTTGCTACAATCGCCATCAACGTAACTCGTTCGTGCAGGTATATTAGTATGTTTCCTGCATTACGTGTTGCATACGGACGAGATTGCAAATATTTGTAGGAATTTAAGTTGGAAAGATAGGCTGAAGAATTATTATAAACCATCTGATGAAATAATTGTTTTAAATGCTGTAAAAGTATGTTGCCGTTAATAAAAAAAAAAGTAGCATTTAGCTACAATTAACTCTTCAACTTCGTATTTAATTTGGACTTACAACTGTTTTGATTCGAGAGCCACTGGTCAGTCTTATGTAGACGAACTCGTGTCTGGCGTGCAAAGTTATAAACTTGGTATTTTTGGTAAGTTGTTAGGTTATAGTACAGTCTCGTGATTTTTTTAAAGGAAAATTCTACATGCAACTAGCGCATTAGGTACTGTATATGACTACGAAAAAATTATATAGGTAACTTTTGTATTTTCGGAAATAAATAAAATTAAATATTCTGTAGATAGAAGTACAAATGTTAAGGATAAACGTAGAGATCACACAATTATTGAAAAATTGATGTGTTGTTTAATAACATGATACCTGTCTGAAATCATTCATACCCCCTTTGTTCGCACAACCTCTGTCAAGAAGAAATACTGAAACATGTCATTGTATTTATTTCGGATTCCATCCGCCCTGTAATTTTGTCACTTTCAAAATTTCGAGCCGATTCAAACTAAACGGTTCCTCTTTCAGAATTTCAGGAGTCATGTCCATGAAAATATCGCCATCAATTTGTTCCTCAGAGCATATTTCAGCAAATTTATGAAGCTTAACATTTTGAAGCAGATTTCCAAGCTGAATCATGGTAATTAATCTAAGATCACTCTCTGGCTGACTTATACTTGGTATCTCGGATCTTTTTTCAGGTTCTTTATTGTTGGTTTCATTGTCTTTGACCTGCTCTGTACCTGCTGTAAAAGTATCATATTTAGTCTGATTATCTTTTGGTGAGAAAGGAGGATCAAGGTATTTCTGTTCTGGTAATGGCGGTTGATCGGATGTGGTATCGCTATCATCGATCGAATTTAAGTACTCCTCTTGAGTAGATAATCTACGCAAATGTATCCGTTTAGTTTGCTTTGGTAGTGTGTTGTTACAATCTGAAATATGTTGGTTGTTGTTGCATGTTCTTCTTTTTTCAACCGTTAGCGTTGACGTACAGGATTCTAGATTAGCATCTGCAAATCCAGAGCCACTAGATGATATTTCATGTGCTCCAGTCTTTCCTTTAGATATGTTCATATCTTGAAAAAAAATATCATTTATATTATTTGGGATTTCACATAAAAAAGTACGCATATTGCGCAAAAATCACTTTTAAGTAGCACGGAAATGTTTTTTTACATGGTTGATATTTAAAAGTATGACACAATAAAGATGAAAGGAGGATGTATAATAAAAGCCATTATCCGACCCTATAATTGCAAAAAGGCGCTGACGTGTAATGTTTTATCATGGCACTTGCTTGGTAGAGACATCAGACTTTAAAATAATCTCAGACCAGTCACTGTCATGTCATTGATATAACGAATTAGCATATATGACTTAAAATTGCACTTTTACACATGTTTTTTTTGGACAAAATCGGATATGAGCCAAAGCCATACCCAAAAATATATCTTACTCACATTTACACCTTTTATACGACATCGTGTAGCAAAATATCTTTCTGGATAAAAGACTTGGCTCATATCTAAATGTTGATGGCAATCGTTCAAAATCATGCTTATTTAGAAAATTTTATGCAGTTTTGCATTCAAGCAGGATGTTTGAAGCCTTAAAGAAAATACGAAATGCAAAATGTTAAAACATGAATATTGATATGTGACAGAGTAACAGGGGAACATTATCTGAAGAATGTTATTTGATGGAAGTATAATACTGTTTGCTTCTCGAAAAGTCCATTTCCAACAAAAAAAGTACATCAAAACATGCTCTTTCTCTAAGGTTTGTATGGGTAAGGATACATGTAATCGTACTTTAAGTTTTTTTTCCGTTTGCAACATAATTTAACATTGGAAATACAATCGATAATTGGAAAATGTACCGTTCAAAGGACCATATAAATGGTCTTATATCATATCACTGGCCTCTGTATCGCGAACCTAATGTAAGAACGTATAGTTGTATAGGAAAAAGAATACGTTTATTTTCCATTCAATGGGCTAACAACGAGCATAGAACAATATGTTAAAGACATTATTTTATACCAAATAAAAAAACAAACAAGTCTTCTCAAGCAAAAAATGAGGATGTTCAAGCTGTATTAGAAGACATGGAAAATCTTTATTTTGATATAATGGAATCAATCGTTCCGGATGAAGATAATCCAGAAAAGCGCTTTTGACGTACGAAATTTGTATAGCATTTTTTTGCATTTGTTAAGAATGGTATAGAAGTTGCAGATAAGATAATGTTGGATTGTATGCCATTTATTTGATATACGACGTACTTGAAGTTTTTGAATAATTGAAAATTAGGGCACACTCTTATCTAGTTATACGGCTAAGAAAATTTCAAAAAAGGGACGGAGGGACTTGGAAGCTGGTAATCCAAATATTGTACTGATAGTTCCGTTTGAATATGGAGCGATTTTCAAAAGCTTTTTTATTTACAAAACTGAGAACATGATTTTCAAAACATAGGACCGTGAAAAATATGTTTATCATATAACCTTTAGGAATAAGAGTTTACAAAGGACAAATAAATTAACATGAATTGTATATTAATTAACGAGACCCAAAAACAACACTCCCGCACACATTGGAATGTGATATACAGCTTGACATAATTTATCAAATATTTGTATCTATAAATCGTTAATATATGAATAGCAATATAAAGTAGTTATGTGTTATGTTCAAAATACGATAAGTTTTAGGTCGGATAAAGGCAATATTCAAAGAATTTTCTAAAATGGTAAATTGATAACGTTTAAGAATACGCTTTTACAAAAGAATGATAAGTTTATATGGATTACTTTATAACGAAATTAAATACTAGCATTTAGGAAACAAATCAAAGAACATGAAAGTAAGTTGTAAAACACCTTTTAATCTGGATACTGGGGTGGAGCACTGTCTACCAATCACAGAAAATACCATATGGCCATCTTGATTTATTGTTTCAAACAAAAATATTGTAGAAAACGTCTCGCCAACCTGACTGTTGTCTATACGTCTTCTTAGTTTCACTGCAGTCGGATCGACTAATTCACAACACTTAATTTGGTGTCGCAGTTCAAATCCTGAAAACAGAGGGCCAGTTTTGGGTTCGGATGTAAACAATAGAAAATTGTTTGTTGTAACTGACTGCAAATCGAGGTCCTTAGAACATATGTACGGTAATCCTAATCTATAAAGACTTTCGTCAATTATTTTGACTTGCCTTGGAAGAGGAAAGTTTTCTAACAACTCGCGTGGTGTGTAATGATTTGGGTCTTCAAGGCCTTGGTAGGTATATTCATTAGCAGACGGTATCTGAATTTCACAGTTATCACGGTTACAAAGCATAATGTTTAATGTTTTCGTGGTTTTCCTGACATTGGTGTTAGCCTGTATCGTCTTGAATTCGAGATGCTCGCCACTCTTTACTCTGACTATACAGTCTTTTTCATCAACTGCAAAAAGATCTTTATTGCAGAAAAAAAAGCGAGGACGTTCACGGCACAACTCGTCAAAAGTTTTAAATGTTTCCCCATTGCAATGAATGTCAGCAAAGAATTCATGATTTCCAGGGTTCAAATAAATTTTTTCGAATCTGTCTGTAATTTTCGTATTGCACCCAACATTGACATTTACATAATCTCCATCACCAACACAAACTACAAGTTGTTCACATAGTAAAACACAAATTTCTGTCCCAACAGGAACCAGTTCTCCTGTCACTGTGACTATGCTAGTATCCAGTGTTACTTTCTGTGGACAAAATTTTCCTTGAACATCTGAAAAATCCATTATGTGCTTTCAAAGCTCGTTACATATATAAATATATATATATTGTTATTCAAATTCCGAGTGATCTGTTGCACAGTGATCTGTAACCGACGAACAAAATACGCTTGTTGTTATTTTTCTGATAGAACAGAAACAAGTATAAATAAAACTTTTGTTTGTATAGTACAGTAAATCCAGTGATTTTTTTTCTATTGGTATGTCATGTCTGGTATGTATTATATACACTTACACAATATCATTAGAAATCGTACTGTCTGATAATATGAAAATAAAAAAAACAGGAAGTCATGAGTTATTTTTAGCTCTTTTTATCCTTCTGAATAAAACAGGTCAATTTGAAATCATAAAAGGCAGATTGTATAACTATGTAAAATATAATTTTTTTGTAACATGCAATCATTGATATAGTGAAAAAAGATTGAATTGTGTTAACATATGTAAATTTTCTATTTCATTCGAAGAATTACTGACATTTGTTTGCTTGAAATTTACCATGAAAGTAACAATAAGCTACCTGTTTCTCATGATACAATCACGGAAATCAGCCTACGATATATAAATATATCAATTGAAAAAAGGATAGTATATGAGATAAAAAATCAACAAGGTTGGACCTACATCCTTTGCTGTTTCTTTGAACTTTAGATATTTCTTTTAACTATAGAAATAATACTTCCTAATGAAAAGTAAATTATAGAAATACAAGTTTGTCCAGAACAGTGTCCAGTCAAAGAACACAAAAATCTTAAATGAGGCAGACATTATAAAACAAACACAACAAACAGTGAAATAAATAATAAAAGTAAAGCAAACACTACATTAGTACATCACTGGCATGGGCTGCCATTTGGAGCACATGCTTCAGTTTAATTATTGAACTGTTGCGAGGACGTTCCCTGTCCATAATGATTTTGTAGCTAATCTCTAATATGAATGTTCCTTACTTAAGACTATCATACCTGGTGGTTCTAACCTTGAGCTTATCTACTGTTTTATCTGCTCATGTCCTAGTTAGATTGATATTTAGAAATTCGAGTTTAAATGTTGATGAAATCACGCAGATACCTAGGATATGTTTTGTGAATAATTTTAAAAGTTTCAAAGTGAATTTTTCTAACACTCCGGATTGTTAAAGAATTTTCAAGAGATTTTCAAATGTATTAGCGTATTCATTGTATACAGGTCTACGGGATGTCATTGTAAACAATTCTAAGGGATGTAATTGTACACATGTCTAAGGAATATCATTGTAAACAAGTCTGAGGGATGTAACTGTATATAAGTTAAGGGATGTCATTGTACACAAATCTAAGGGGTGTCAATGTTAACAAGTTAAGGGGATATCATTGTTAACAAGTCTAAGGGTTGTCATTGTAAACAGGTCTAAGGGATGTCATTGTAGACAAGTCTTAGGGATTTAAGTGTAAACAAGCCTGAGGGATGTCATTGTATACAATTCTTAGGGATATCATTGTATTCAAGTCTGTGGGATGTTATTGTGAACAAGTCTAAGGGATGTCACTGTAACAAGTCTAGGGGATATCATTGTTTACAAGTCTAAGGTTGTCTCTGTAAAGATGTCTGAGGGATGTAATTGTAAAAAAGTCTAAGGGATGTCAATGTATTCAAGTCTGACAGATGTCATTGTAAACAATTCTAAGGGATGTCATTGCACACATGTCTAAGGAATATCATTGTATACAAGTCTAAGTGATGGCATTGCAAACATGTCTGAGGGATGTTAATTTTAAAAAGTCTGAGGGATGTCATTGCTTACAAGTCTGAGGGATGTTACTGTTTACTAGTCTAAGGGATGCCATTGTTTGCAGGTCTGAGGGATGCCATGGTATACAAGTCTTAGGGATGCAATTGTCAACAAATATTAGAGATGTCATTGTAAACAAGTTTAAGTGATGTCATTGTAAAAAAGTGTTAGGGATGTCATTATATACAATTCTGTGGGATGCAATTGTAAACAAGTCCAAGGGATGTCACTGTAAAGAAGTCTAGGGGATATCATTGTTTACAAGTCTAAGGGTTGTCTTTGTAAAGATGTCTGAGGGATGTAATTGTATAAAAATCTAAGGGATGTCAATGTATACAAGTCTGACAGATGTCATTGTTAACAATTCTAAGAGATGTAATTGTACACATGTCTAAGGAATATCATTGTAAACAAGTCTGAGGGATGTAACTGTATATAAGTTGAGGGATGTCATTGTATACAAGTCTAAGGGGTGTCAATATAAACAAGTTTAGGGGATATCATTTTTTACAAGTCTAAGGGTTGTCATTGTAAACAAGTCTAAGGGATGTCATTGTAGACAAGTCTTAGCGATTTAAGTGTAAACAAGTCTGAGGGATGTCATTGTATACAAGTCTTAGGGATATCATTGTATTCAAGTCTGTGGGATGTTATTGTAAATAAGTCTAAGGGATGTCACTGTAAACAAGTCTAGGGGATATCATTGTTTACAAGTCTAAGGTTGTCTTTGTAAAGATGTCTGAGGGATGTAATTGTTTAAAAGTCTAAGGGATGTCATTATATACAAGTCTTAGGGATGTCATTGTATACAAGTCAAAGAGATATCATTGTATACAAGTCTTAGTGATGGCATTGCAAACAAGTCTGAGGGATGTTAATTTTAAAAAGTCTGAGGGATGTCATTGTTTACAAGTCTGAGGGATGTTACTGTTTACTAGTCTAAGGGATGCCATTGTTTACAAGTCTTTGGGATCTCATTGTGTACAAGTCTAAGGGATGTCATTGTTTATATGTCTGAGAAACAAGTCTTAGGGATGTCATGGTTAACAAGTCTGAGGGATGTTACTGTTTCCTAGTCTAAGAGATGCCATTGTTTACAAGTCTTAAGGATGTCATTGTGAACAAGTCAGAGAGATGTAATTGTAAACAAGTCTGAGATGTGTCAAAGGATACAAGTCTAAGGGATGCCATTTTGTACAAGTCTTTCGGATGTAATTATAAACAAGTCTGAGGGATGCAATTGTTTACAAGTCTAAGGGATACTTTTGTATACAAGGTTACCAGATGCTATTGTAAACAAGTCTGAGGGGTGTCATTGCAAATAAGTTTACGCGATGTCATTGTAAACAAATCTGAAGGGTGTCATTGTATACAAGTCTAAGGTATGGCATTGCATGCAAGTCTGAGGGATGTTATTGTTTACAAGTCTAAGGGATGCCATTATTTACAAGTCTAAGTAATGCCATTGTATACAAGTCTGTTGGATATCTTTGTAAACATATCTGAGGGATGTCATTGTGAAGAGGTTTGAGGGATATCATTGTTTACAAGTGTAAGGGATGCCATGATATACAAGTCTAAGGAATGCAATTGTCAACAAATATTAGAGATGTCATTGTAAACAAGTCTAAGTGATGTCATTGTAAACAAGTCTTAGGGGTGTCATTTTATACAATTATGTGGGATGCAATTGTAAACAAGTCCGAGGAAGTTAGTGTAAACAAGTGTAGGGGATGTTTCATGTCATTATTTATTATCAATATAAGCTGTATTAAATCAGATAAAATAGAATTTTCATGTAATATCTATCAGTTTTGGGAAGTTTTCTGGTTATCAGGTTAGCGTTTTGAGGTGTTCTTTTGGAATATTTTCTTTCATTTTATACTCTATGAATAAAATTTCACTGGTTTTTATATGTTGTAGGATTTAAGTTATGTCCATTTCTTCACCTTGAAACAGTATATTATAGACTTTTATATAGTCTAACGGTAAATACTAAATCAGTATTTTATTGTTGACGTGACGTGTACTTATGTGAGTAAAGTAGGTTTCTTCATCTGTTATTACATACTAGTAGGAATTTTATCATAAACACTAAATATCCATATTATAGTTCAATTTAGGTCGAGACAAACAGAATGTAGACTCCTTAAAATTTACATGCAGCGCATTCCTAATAGAAAAAGAAATGCGTTTAACTTAAAAGAGTACAAATAATTTTTTAACTGCAAAGTTATTGGCGAAAAAGTCGGAAAGTTCAAAATGATCAAAACCGAACGTTTCCGCTACAAAAAAAAAAGTCAAGTGCGTAGTAAGGTAAGTTACTAATTCCGGAATGCAATGAACTTTTATACTTTGAGTCCATTGTTTAGTGATAAGTATGATATACATAAAGATTGGGAGCAAGAGAAGCTAAATATTAAATTTTGTAAATACATTCTTTGTGTTATATAGTGATAGTAATATTAAATAAGCTATTGACACAGAGAAATGTCTCGTCTGTCGGCATAAACTTCAGAAAAAGACAATCTGATTGACAGCAGCATGGTTTATTAATTCAGCTGCTGGACCACTATCTAGTGGGCAGGGCCTCAAAATAGTCGTCAAACTGATATGTACAGATAGTAATGCGATTTCATACAAAATATCATTGATCTATCAAAAGTAGATCCTATCAAACTAACTCAAGCAGAAAACTTGACATTGAAAATTGCTAATTAATTCAAAGTCACTGGATCATGACATAGGAAGCAGGGCATCGAAATAGTCGTCAAACTGATCTGAACTGAAAGTAATGCAACTTCATACAAAATATCATTGATGTCATTGATCTATCACAAGTAGATCCTATTAACTGACTTAAGCAGAAAACTTAACATTGAAAATTGCTAATAAATTCAAAGTCACTGGACCATGTCCTAGGGACAGGGCCTTGAAATAGTCGTCAAACTGATATGTATCGATAGTATTGCGACTTCATACAAAATATCATTGATTTATCACAAGTAGTTCCTATCAAACTAACTTAAGCAGAAAACTAACTTAACATTGAAAATTGCTAATTAATTCAAAGTCGCTGGACCATGACATAGGGGGCAGGGCTTCAAAATATTCGTCAAAATGATATGTAACGATAGTAATGCAAATTTATATCAAATATCAATGATCTATCACAAGTAGTTCCTATCAAACTAACTTAAGCAGAAAACTTAACATCGAAAAAGCGTTGCTAGGTAAACTCTATTTGCTTCAGTAAATCTACGTTTTACGAAGGCCAAGCTTAAAATACAATACAGCTATCTTCTTAATTGACTATTTTGGCTTAAAAATGTCATGAATGAAAAAAGTCCGCGAAACTGTTGCATCGTCTTTGGCTTCTAAACAATGTGACGTCATAGGTATACTCCCGATGTCAAACATAAACACTAGACGTATTTATACTTTTCGTAAGCTTCTGAATGGTTTCAATTTAAAAAAAAAGAAGATTTTGAATCACAAAATGAGAATGTTTTTATTTACGTTTTGAGAAACTACATACCAAAAGAAAATCGGAATTCAAAATGGTGGCTCAGTCCTTATAGTTACGGACTGGTAGAACGTGGAATCTAACCATTCAAAATATTTATCAACGTCCAATGAAAATTATCGTTACAAACGAACTGCATTTGTATGGTTGTATTACCTCGTCAAGATAGAATATGCAAGGTTTGCTCACTAAACACAGTTGAAGATGCAATTGATAAGCGTTAGGATCTTTATCTTGACCAGGAAATTCAAAAGTTTTCTTTTTCTTGATATTTGAAAGAAAAGAACTTGATCCGCGCTCTAAATCATGTTTCACAGTCACTGAAAAGCAACCCAGATTCCTTTCAAAGGTAAAGGTAACTTAAAGATACAGTATACACACATGTACCATTCCATTTGGGAGGGGGGAGGGCAGTAGAGATGACAATTTTTTTAGGGTTTAAATTGAGTATGTATACCGTTTTCTACAATTACGCCCTGCATTCTCATTAATATGTTAACTCCAACAAGGAACATAACATGTTATCCTAATTAAATTCAAACAGACTTCCAAAGCTTTGTACAAATGACACCATGAAGAAGGCTTTGATTTTCATAATATACAAACACATATTACTTTTTTATAATAGATACACACATGAGGGCGTTAGCCCGATTGAGTGTATTATATTTATATATTAGACATTATGATGGATTTTAATAATTAAGGGAGGGCGTATTTCAACAATTTGGCCTTATGTTGAGGCAAACATGATAAATGCAGCGTATGCAATAGTCATTGTGTAAATAGTGACATCACCACTCTGAAGTAGAAGAAGATGAACAGTGTATATGTCAAATTAGTACGCCGTACAATGACGGTAGTTGTTAATACTATCCTCTTTATTTGATCTTTGTTTGATAGTTGTCTCATTGACAATCATATCACATCTCTTTATTTATTTTGATATGTACAAAACATCAGTTATTATTAATCACGTTAGGGTTTAAATTAGGTTTATTGCATAGGGCTGTGCGGCATATTTTCATCATTTATATGCCCCGAACTTCTAAGAGTTAAACTTATACTAAAATTCTGTACTATCCCTACCTCCACTTTGGGTGTCCCTCAGAATTCAATTATCGCCGCTACCATCTGTTTTTATACTGGTAACATTCCAAAGTTATTTCTCTATGAGATGAAACATAGAGATCATATCTGGGAACCAGTACGTAAACAAAACAAAATATCTATGAATATTATACATAAAGAGGCGTGGCTTGTGAAACAGCTGTATTTACAAAGTGCAACCTATACTAACATTTATTAAAATAGAAAACTCTTGAAAGACACTTTTTCTCACAACAATACTTAGTTATCAGAATTATAGCATAAAGGAAATCACTGCATATACTCAGACTTTTCTTTAACAGTGCATTTTATACCCCCACCCTTGTTTCAATTTTAAAACATTTGAAAACAAGACTTTAATTATTGTCAGCTTACCCTATGTGCATGTTTGCTGACATGACATTGCTAGAACCTGTTTAAAATTATTCTGATAACAAATTGAAAGCATTTCAGAATACTATAAATGTAAAGTTTAGTAGTTAATCATTCCAACATTCAAGATTATATAAAGTATCCAATCCTACCTCTGTGTCCTGTCCACATCTTACTGTATGCCTATTTGTCAATAAAAGTTCTCAATTTCTGCCTCAAATGGTCAGTTTAGAAATCTTGTCACAACAATATCATCTTTAACCATATATCTAACATAATTTAACTAATATATGAACTAGAAGTGTTTAAACAAAGCCATATTTGGTAAAGTTGTATGTATGAAGTTACCAGTCTGATGTATGAATCCACTAAAAGTTTTATAGAAATGACTGCTAACATCTGTCGGTGCTCTTCAGCTTTGTACTTGTTTTGGCTTTCAAACTTTTTTCATCTGAGCGTCACTGGTTAGTCTTGTGTGGACGAGACGCACGTCTGGCGTATTGGATTTTAAACCTGGTGCCTTTTGTTAGCTATTATTCGTGTGTTTCTTTGTCCTATATGTTCTCCCATTTATTTGTATTGTAATCCTGTCATATAATGTTGTCATTTTAATATTATATTTAACATTGCCAAAAAAGCGGGAGGTTTGGCATGCCACAAAACCAGGTTCAACCCCCCAATTTTTTCTTAAAATGTCCTGTACCAAGTCAGGAAAAAGGCCATTGTTATATTATAGTTCGTTTCTGTGTGTGTTACATTTTAATGTTGTGTTTTTGTTGTGTCGTTGTTCTCCTCTTATATTTGATGCGTTTCCCTCAGTTTTAGTTTGTAACCCGGATTTGTTTTTATCTCTATCGATTTATGAGTTTCGAACAGCGGTATACTACTGTTACCTTTATTTTGCATAACTTCCAAGCACAGTTATTATTTTCTATACAAAAAACCTTTGAAATCATAAAATCATAGCATTTACAGGTTAAATTATCTGTTTTAGGACCCAGGGGGTAGGCATTTTTCTCTTTTTTTATTCCACTGGGGCCTCACATTTGCTAAATTATTCTGCTGTTGCTGTGAATATGGAATATTTAGTACACATTTAGGATAGAACACACTATTGTTAGTTTTATTGAGGTATTTTTGTATCTCTAGCTTGTATTTATATTTGCCGCGGTCACAAAAAAGCAAATTCAGGTGTTACGGCTTACTTTTGGGTTATCGACAGGACAAAAACACCCCAACAACAATATTCATCAAGGATCTATGAGTTTCAAAGACTTCGAAGAATGTATATAAGTGGTGGTCATCGGCTGTTTTCTGCTGTTTGGTCGGGTTGTTGTCTCTTTGACACATTCCCCATTTCCATTCTCAATTTTATATAAGCACTTCTAAACAATTTAAATTACAAATATGCATATATTATGAATTTATTTTGCATTCAGGTTTTTAAGTACACTATGCATACTGTAAACTGTGAATTTATGCTGAGTCATCATAATTGAGGCCCAGGATTTTATCAATCTTCTTGAAATATTTATAAAACTTTATATTTGAGTTTATTTCATTAAAATCTCTGAGATAAACCAGATTTGGTGAAATTCTATATGTTCTCTTTTTTCACCCATTATAGGTTGCACTTCTGTAAATATAGACAATGCAATTTTCCATAGGAACTCCCTTTGTAGCTAAAGCTGTGCCACTTTTACTATGAAGTTTCGTAAAAAATTATATCCTAGAACGGAAAGTTGATATGCACTACTTTTTTATTCAAAGGTCAAAACATAGGGCTGTGCGGCATATTTTCAACATTTATATGCCCCGAACTTCTAAGAGTTTAAACTTATACTAAAATTCTGTACTATCCCTACCTCCACTTTGGGTGTCCCTCAGAATTCAATTATCGCCACTACCATCTGCTTTTATACTGTTAAAATTCCAAAGTTATTTCTCTATGAGATGAAACATAGAGATCATATCTGGGAACCAGTACGTAAACAAAACAAAATATCTATGAATATTATATTTCTCCCCAAAAGAGGCGTGGCTTGTGAAACAGCTGTTTTTACAAAGTGCAACGTAGAGGTCCAAATATTTTTTGAACGTGCAAAGTTTTCTCGTTTGAATTGTTTCACATGAGGTCATGTCTGGACCTTTTATAGCTGTCTATACGGTTTGGGTTTTGCTTATTATTGAAGGCCGTTCGGTAACCTATGTTTGCTTACATTATCGCCATTTGGACTCTGGTGGATAGTTGTCTGATTGCCAATCATATCACATCTTCTAATTTTTAGAAAGATCAGAAGTATATAGTAGTATTGAATGGATTTTAAAATAAACGATTAAGATCATTCATCTCTGACATTCAGTTCATAAATATTGAGCAAGTTATAAGCGTACATACAATTATATGAAGTGTGCTTGTAAATGAATTTTAAAACAAACCAAAGTATAATATTGTAATCCTAAACTGACTTTAGCAGAGTTTTATCAGATGACAATTGTACAAAAGATCACTAATATAACATGACTCAATTAGCATGTAACCAGAGTTTAAATATGATCAAATAAACAATAAGATGACTTCCTAATTCTTTATAACTTACAATACTCTATCTGCTACAAAATCATTGCTTATGGTACAAGTGCGAGAGTACAGTATTAAGTACAACATGAGGAAGTTTTGTTCTGAACAAAAATATAGCCACAGAAAGTTAATATGAAAGTTATGAATTGTGTTCAATTCATATTTTTATGCAAACTAATTGTTGTGGTTTACTGCTTTTTTACCTTATTTTCTCTTTTGACAATATATAATGATTTTCATACCAGATTTCGACTTTTATCTAAAGAAGTAGTCCATATCGGAAACATACTAATCGAAATGCAGCGATACACCTCATAAAAGGCTACAAACTTGTTTTTTTTTGCAATATAGATGAAAGAAATGAATAACTTTTTTCATTTACTACATTAAAAAGATAGATATGCTATGTACAATCTATCCTATAGGATATTGTTGAAGTTATCTCCCTTGGTGTTAGTTTTATAATGCATTATAAAGAATTTTTGTCTCAGATGGTTATTGTAAAAAATAAAAAAATAAAAATAAACGACTTAAAACACACTTTTATATCATAAATACTATATAAAAAAAATCACAGGTAGGCTTCCACTGATGAATCACATTTTACATGGAATATCTTTTGAGGCAAACCCTTCCCAAATTACCTCACGTTGTGCTGTTACACAACTGTCCCATGTTAAGGGGAGGGTTGATCGCTCGCATAATTGTTAATACCGCTTCCTCATGTGCCTGTCTCAAGTCAGGAGTCATAATTCAGTGGTTGTCGTTGGATTCTGTCTGCCATATTTTGGTTTTCTCTTTGTAAATTGTTTCACATTTTTCATGCCGTTTATAGCTACTGTAATGCAATAGGTTTGCTCATTGTAAAAAGACTGTGCAAGAGTGAAATAATTAAACTAAATTTCCAATATGAATTTGATAAGTACATTTTTATTATAAATCAATGATTCCAATGTACAAAATACTTGATTTATAAAACATAAAAAAAATCACTCTCCTACATCTTTATTTCACATTTTACTTTGTGAGCAACTGATATGTGCCACCGACTACTATTGGAAAAAATGATATAGCAAGATTTCATTCAATGAAGGAAATAAGCTGAAATAACAATTTTTTTCATTGATAGTATCTAATACAAAGAAAATAAAAAAAGGACCGGGTCCATGCCCCAATCGCCATCATGATAATTCGTTCGTGCAGGTATATTAGTATGTTTCCTGCATTAAGTGTTCCATACGCACAAGATTAGCAAACATCGGTAGAGACATAAGCTGAAAAGATAGGCTAGAGAATTATCAAAAACCATCTGATGAAATTATTTTTTTAAAGCTGTAAAAGTCTGTTATCGTTTTTAAAAAAATACAGCATTCAGCTACAACTAGCTCTTCAACTTCGTATTTAATTTGGCCTTTCAACTGTTTTGATTTGAGAGCCACTGATGGGTCTATTGTATACGAACTCTTGTCTGGCGTACACAATTATAAACCTGGTATTTTTGATAAATTGTCAGGTTAAAGTACGGTCTCATAATTTTTATGGAAATTCTGCATGCAACTAGCGCTTAGGGTTCTATATATGACTATCACAACATGATATAGGTGACTTTGTTACTTTCTGAAAATAATAAAATTGAATATTCTGTAGATAGAAGTACAAATGTTTATGGTGAAAGTAGAGATCACAAAAATATTGAATAATGAATGTGTTGTTTACTGACACGGTACCTATGAGAAAACATTCATAACACCTTTTTTTTCACACAACATCGGTCAGGAAGATATACTGAAAATTTCATTGTACCTATTTCGGATTCCATCCAATCTGTAATTTTGTTACTTTCAAAATTTCAAATCGATTTAAACTAAACGGTTCTTCTTTCAGAATTTCATCAGTCAGGTCCATAAAAAAATTGCCATCAATTTGTTCCTCAAAGCATTTTTCAGCAAATTTATCAAGCTTAAACTTTTTAAGAAGATTTCCAAGCTGAATCATGGTAATGAATCTAAGATCACTCTCTGGCTGACTAATACTTGGTATCTCTGATCTTTTTTCAGGTTCTTTATTGTTGGTTTCCGGATTTTCATATGCTCTTTCACCAGCATTGACTTGCTCTGTACTTGCTGTATAAGAATTATATTTAATCTGATTATCTTTTTGTGAAATAGGAGGATCAAGGTATGTCCGTTCTGGTAATGGTGGTTTTTCTTCTCTGTCTACGCTAATACCTACATATTCTCCCGAAGTGTGGTCGGATGTGGTATCGCCATCATCGATGGAATTAAGGTACTCCTCTTGAGTTGATAATCTACGCAATGGCCTCCGTTCATTTTGCCTTGGCAGTGTTTTATTACCATGTGAAATATGTTGATTGTTACTGTATGTTCTTTTTTCAACCGTAAGCGTTGACGTACAGGATTCAAAATCAGCATCTGCAAATCCTGAGTCATTGTCTGAAAAAAGTCAATCTTTTTTTTAATTTGGAATCTCACATAAAAAGTAAGCATGTTTTAATAAGGATCACTTTTAAGTAGCACGGAAATGTTTACCGACCATTCTTTTTCTTTCTTTATTTTTCTAAAAAAAAATTACCTAAGTTTTTTCTTAAGTAAATGAGAAAATTTGGTAAAAGTTAACAAGATCACTTTTCTTATGATATGTCATATATCGAACGATTTTTCAAGAAGTAAAAAACAACTTCACATTTGATTTATTTGAGGTACAAGGAAATGTTCATGAAATGATGCAATATTAACGATAGGATATAATTCTGCATGGTTAAAATTTCATGAATATGGCGGAATAAGAATAGATTCAGGATTTGTTTACATGTTCAATATTTAGAAATCTATAGAATTATACAATAAACGGGAAAGGTGTTGTAAAAGCCATTAAACATACCGCAAATTACAAATGATCGATAACGTGTAATGGTTTATTATGGCACTTGTTGGGGAGTGACATCAGACTTCGGCATAATCTCACACAGTCACTGTCATGGCATACATATGTTGATTTTAGCATATATGACTTAGAATTGCACTTTTACACATGTTATTTTTGGACAAATTTATATATAAGGCAAAGTCAAACCCAAATACATATATCTTACTTATATTAACACATTTTATAAGACATCTTGAAGCAAAATATATTTCTGGATAAAGAATTGGCTCATATCTAGATGTTGATGACAATCGTTCTAAATCATGCTTATTTAGAAGATTTTATACAGTTTTGAATTTAAACAACATGTCTGAAGCCTTAAAGCAAATACAAAAGGCAAAATTGTAAAACATAAACATATTAATGTATGATAGACTAACAAGGGAACATCTGAAGAATTTTAATTGATGGAAGTAGCATACTTTTTGCTTCTCGAAAAGTCCATTTCCCAACCAAAACAAAAAACAAATGTACATCAATACATTCTCTTTCTCTAAGGTTTGTATAGGCAAGGATACATGTTATCCTACCTTAAGTTTTTCCCTTTGCAACATCATCCAACATTGGACATACAATCAATATTAGGAAAATGTACTTTTCAAAGGGCAATAAAAATGGTCTTATATCATATTATCGGACTTTGTATATTGAACCTTATGTTAGCACTTAACTGTATATGAAGACGAAGACGTTTATTTTTAACTAAGTGGGCTCACAAGGAGCATGAAGTAATGTGATTAAGACATTATTTTATATCAAATAAAAAACATAAAGCCAAGATACCAAAGCTGTATAAGAATACATGAAAAAACTATAATTCTTATTTAAGGGAATGAATCTTTACGGATGAAGTTAGTCAAGAAAAGCATTTCAGATGCTTGAAATTTAGAAAGTATTATTTTCATTTGTTAAGAATTTTCTAGAAGTTGCAGATAAGATAATGGTCGATAATGTGTCATTTATTTTAGAAGTTTTTGACTACTGTGAAAGTACTTTAATTCGTCGGTATCGATTTTCGTGGTTTGAGCCAAAGTTACATGTTTGTGGGTTATTAAATTCGTGGATTTTAATTTTCTGAAAAAAATCGATTGAAGAATATGAAGCCATCAGAAACAAAGATTCTTGAAATAATCATATGTTGTTTTATAATGATTTGTGGGACATTGCAAAACAAGGTGCTCATTTTCACTCACTTGTTCGTCTTTCATTACTGACAACATTCATCAAATTTTCAATAAAATAATTGCTGTTGGATATAAGCAGCTTCATCTATGCTTACGAATTGTCTCGATTGAAGGAAATTGCAATAGTAAACATTTTAATTGTTTCACACGTGTAATCAGAAGCGATGACAGTTATTAACCCGAGATCGAATGATCAACAGATTAATGATCGTCACATGTGTTAAATGGGTCATTGACATATCACTTAAAAAACGGTTACATAAACAAATGATACAAATGTACTTTGAATTGTAGAATTAATTCTTATGAAATAAAAAAAGCTAACCCAATATGAAATCGTTTTTTTTTCCGTATGACAATCATAAGGAGATAAAATGAATACTTTATCTTCGGATATCATCACCGGAAGTCTGACTTTCATCGTTCAAAACTAATTTTCTCATGAGAATTACAAGGATAAAAGTCGTACAGTTGAGGTTTGTTTTAAGATTAAATGGGTAAAAAACTGTCTGAAGTTGTACATATAGTTCATAGTTCTTTTGCTGATATTCGATGTATTCTCTAGATTATATGCCGGTATCCATATGATATAGTCAAACCTACATGGGAGTCTTTCCATGTCTTGATTTGGACAACAGTTGTTTTATTTCGTAGAACACAAAAAATTCGTGGATAAAGCCATCTAAAAAACACGAAAATTGGTACAACACGAATAAAAGGTCTTTCATAGCCGAGTAATTGAAAATTATTGCTCATTGTTATCTATAAAATATCAAGTAAAGTTTTAACGGCTAAAAGAGTTGTGTTGATGACTCAAGTCATTCTTAAACATTTGTTTTAGTTACTTTTTTTAACTTTTACTTTGTGTACAATTTGAAGCGACTGTCAAAAGATCTTTTTACAAAACCGAGAACATGTTTTTTAAAGCATGTGAAAGAATATGTATATCAAATAACCTTTAGGAATAAGAGTTTACAAAGGACAAATAAGTTAACAGGGATCGTATATTAATCAACGAGCCCAATAAAACAACCCTCCCGCAAAAAATGGGATGTGATAACCCGTTTGACATAATATTTTTTCAGATACAGCCAAACTTCGAAATCAAATATTTGATTCTATGAAAGAATTAGTTGGTGGTAACGAAATCCCCAACTTTAAGCTGAAAGTGTCAAAAGGACATAAGACCAAATGCGTTAGTAAGGTATAGCAATATAAAGTAGTTATACTTTAAACTATTGAAAATAAAACCTTCGTTAGTCCCGGTAAAGGTAATATTCAAAGATCTTTTTGAAATGTTCAATAAGTTAACATGGACAGTATCTTAATTAGTCTTTCACACACATTAATTCCATTAATCTCAAATACTTTATTAAGAAATTAAAAAAAATGAGTTCTTTAATAGTTGCTAGAAAATATTAAATAGTAAATGGACAGAAAAGTAAAGAAGGTAAAACACCTATTTGAAGCTGACTTGCAACGAAAGTTCACTGGTTTCTTATGTAGTTTAGTAGAAATCTCCTCGTTCATAGAAGGCATTATGATAATATTTAATAATGATATGATTGTCTATTATTTTATTCTACGCAGAGACGTAAAATAAGTTATAATTTTATTCTGAAGAACTTTCCTGTAGTACGTACGTCACACAACTGCCAAAGAGCTGGCTGCATTTCTGACCGGAACGAAGACAAAACGCTTTGCCTGTTTATGTTTTCTTAATGCACTTTAAAAAGGGTTTCGTGTGAAGAAGTTAAGTTTCGGAAGCAAGATAAGTATTGCAAAAGCATAAGCCATAATATAATGCCTAAACAAATCACATATCTTACCTTTCCAATGCTGCCGGTCCGCATTTAATCTGGGTATTGGGGTGAAGCATTGTCTACCAATCACAGAAAATACCAATTGGCCATCTTGAATTTGTTCAAATAAAAATATTGTAGAAAACGTCTCGCCACTCTGACTATTGTCTATATGTCTTCTGAGTTTCACTGCTGTCGGGTCGACTAATTCACAACACTTAACTTGGTGTCGCAGTTCAAATTCTGATAACGGAGGGCTAGTTTTGAGTTCGGATGTAAACAATAGAAAACAGTTTGTTGTAATTGACTGCAAATTGAGTTCATTAGAACATATGTACGGTAATCCTAATCTGTAAAGACTTTTGTCAATCATTTTGACTTGCCGTGGTAGAGGAAAGTTTTCTAACAACTCGTGTGGTGTGTAATGATTAGGGTCTTCAAGGCCCTTGAAGGTATATTCATTTGGAGAAAGTATCTGAATTTTAATGTTATTACGGTTACAAAGCACAATGCTTGATGTTTTCGTTGTTTTCCTGACATTTGTGTTAGCCTGTATCGTCTTGAATTCGAGTTTCTCTCCACTCTTCACGCTGACCATACAGTCATTTTCGTCTATTGCAAAAAAATCATCATTGCAGGAAAAAAAGCGAGGACGTTTACGGCACAACTCGTCAAAAGTTTTAAATGTTTCCCCATTGCAATGAATGTCAGCAAAGAATTCCTGATTTCCAAGGTTCAAATATATTTTTTCGAATCTGTCGGTAATTTTCGTACTGCACCCAACATTGACATTTAAATAATCTCCATCACCAACACAAACTACTAGTTGTTCACATAGTAAAACACAGATTTCTGTACCAGCAGGAACCGGTTCTCCTGTCACTGTTTCTATGCTAGTATCCAGTATAACTTTCTGTGGAGAAAGTTTTCCTTGAACATCTGACAAATCCATTGTGTGCTTTCACAGCCGGTTACATATATAAATATTGTTATTCAAATTCCAAGTTTTCTTGCTAATTGATCTGTAAACGACGAATAAAATACACGCAGTTGGTATTTTGTAAAAGAACAGAAAAAATATTTATATAGAACTTTTATCTATATAGTACAGTAAATCCAGAGAGTTTTACTATTGTTATGCCAGGTCTGGTATGTTTGAACATTTATCACAATAGCATAAGAAAGCGTACTGTTTTATAATATGTGTACAAGAAAACAGGAAGTCATGAGATATTTTTATTTCCTTTCTTCCTTTTGATTAAAACAGGTCCATTTGTTTAAATCATAAAAAAACATTTAAGACAGACAGCTAGATACCATAAACATACTATGTATACACAGGCCAGAGTCTGAGCTTGATTTGCTATATGATATAAAAACTAAACTGACGAAAAAAGTTCATTTATTCAAAATCATAAAATGCAAAAAATACATTTTCCAAATAAAACATTTGACATAAAAGTTCATATTTGATATGAAATAACAATACATAATTAATACGAAATTACATCACAAGTTAACACATCAAATGCTGATGATAAAAGGAAATGACCACAACGCACTTACACGTGAACTCGTGCTGACCCCGCAAGATCATTGACCAATAAGAAAGATGTAATCCAATCATGCACTGGTTATAAGTGAAATTTCTCTGCACGTGAAAACATGTTATCTAATTTCAACAATTTATCGTTTGGTTAAGTAGGACACTCTGACCTTTTGACCAGACTAGAAAAATCATAAATTTACAGTATAAATATCTCACTCTTTATTTAAGTCTTAGTAGTAAACAATTAAAACAGAATTATCTTCTCTGCTGTCTTAAATTATTTTATTCAGCTTAATTTTCAATTAGCAAATAAAATTGGTTATGGTGTACAAGAATATGTGTAATTTTAGTAAATTCTATTACAAAATTAGAATATTGTAAAGTTCTCAAGGGTCAAATGATCTCTTGATTGGTTTTAATCAAGAATTCGTTTCATTGTCAGTGCAATATATCATAATTAATGCATGACTCAATTTTTAGGCATTTCATTAATAATTAGTCTTTAGTGATGTAAAGACTTTCTTATAATTTGAGTAACTTTGATAAATTGTCACTTAGGATAATAGATGCATCACGTTAATACCCCTCCCACTCTGTCCGATTGACCAATTCCTATATGTTAACTTTGTCCGTCTCTCTCTCTCTCTCACTCTGTTGGTTTTTTTTTGGTGAAAATGAGTGGATGCACGTGCTGTCATGCCTCCGGGTAGCTAAGCCCCTGATTTACATTCATTCATCAAAATTAAGTAACATCACATCCTACAGTATCATTGGTCTAGAGCACTTTGCTATATGAGAAATGCCTGTACCAAGTCAGGAATATGACACTTCTTTTCCATTCGTATGATGTGGTTGAGCTTTTTATTTTGCCATTTGATAAGGGACTTTCCGATTTGAATTTTCATTGAAGTTCGGTATTTTTTTTTATTTTACTTTTTGCTATATTCTAATTTGTATTCAGCTATAAAACAGTATAGATATAGAAAAAAATATATATTTGTATCATGCAATAATTCACAGAGTTAAACTATTGTGTTAACATAAATTATGTAAATTTTCTATCTTATTTCAAGAGTAGCTGAAACTTGTTTGCTTGAAATTTCCTAGAAAGTAACAAGTAGTCACTTGTTATTCATGATACAAACACAGAACTCAGCCTACGATATATAAAATGTTCAATTGAAAAAGGATAGTGTATGCGAAAAAATGTTAACAAGGTTTGATCTACATCCTGTAAATTTTATTTGATCTTTAGATACTAGTAGTTACTTTTAAAAAAAGAAATAAACTTCCTCATGAAATGTAAATTATGGAAATACAAACTTGTCCAGAAAAGGGTCCAGTCAAAGAACACAAAAAAATTCAAGGAAGCTGATATTATAAAACAAACACAACAAACAGTAAAACGATAATCAAAATAAAGGACTACATGCATGCAATGCACTGCACTTGCAATTTGGATTTCGTGCTTCAGTTAAAGGGGCATTAGCTGTCAAATTCATGTTCACCAATTTGACTCAAATTCTTATATTCGACTCATAGCATACTTAAACGCATATTTAAATTATAAAAGTCTAAAATAAACAATTTACGATGCATAGACTCGATAGTATGTATCAGCATTTCGTGTTTATTTTAGTCTAGACGCTATCTAGTTAACTATGAAGATGACCTCCTAAAACTGTCGACAATCATTTAACCCGATATAAACATAAACATAGATATAAATAGATTGCGAACTCGTGCAATTGGATTTTTCTAGGTCTGTTTGATTTCATATTATAGGTTAAAAAAATATGTTAATAACAGTTTTTACCTGTATAAGAATGAGTTTTTCTAGATTGAATCAGTCAACCAAATGGTTTACCCTTATTTCATTTCCAATGTTTACAATGAGTTTCGAACAGCGGTATACTACTGTTGCCTTTATTTGCGTTCTTTTCCATTAAATAACTGACCACGGCTAGTTCATGCGTAACCCATCTCTAGCTATAGGAGTCAATTAAAGCTCACATGAATATGGATGAAATGAGGTCGAATTATTCACTTGCTAGTGAATAATTCATTAGCGATGTTTCTTTGCTTATTTTGACAAAACTGAACCAAAGTGGTTGTTAAAAGCGAATTATTATTTAACTATTTCACATTCATTAAATAAATGATAAAAAAAAAAATCATATTTTATATTTTTCTATATCTCGTAGCTAATGCCCCTTTAAATTATTTAATTTTTAAAAGGAGTGTTTCCGGTCTAAAATGATTTTGCGGCTAAATTTCGATTTGCATGGCCCTGTATCTTAAAAGATTTTATATCACATCTGGTGGTTCTAATCTTAAGTCTATCTGCTGTTTCATGTCCTGATTAAATAATTGATATTTTTAAATTCGAGTTTAAATGTTAATAAAATCCTGCAAATACCTAGGACATAATTTGTGAATAATTTTATGGATATGGATCATCGTATTAAATGTATACAAGTTTAAGGTATGTCATTGTAAACAAGACCGAGGGGTGTCATTATAAACAAGGCTGAGGAATGTCATTGTAAACAAGTCTAAGGGATGTCATTGTAAACAAGTCTGAGGAATGTCATTGTGAACAAGTCTACGGGATGTCATTGTAAACAAGTCTATGGTATGTCATTGTAAACAAGTCTACAAGATGTTATTGTTTATAAGACTGAGGGATAGCGATGTCATTGTTAACAAGTCTAAGTGATGTCATTGTAAAAAAGTCTACGGGATGTCATTGTAAACAATTCTAAGTGATGTCATTGTTAACAAGTCTAAGGGATGTCATTGTAAATAAGTCTATGGGATGTCATTGTAAACAAGTCTGAGGGATGTCATTGTAAAGAAGTGTAAGGAATGTCATTGTTAACAAGTCTACATGATGTTTTTATAAACAAGTCTAAGGGATGTCATTGTAAACAAGTCTTAGGGATGTCATTGTAAACAAGTCTGAGGGATGTCATTGTAAATAAGTCTATTGGATGTCATTGTAAACAAATCTGAGGGATGTCATTGTATACAAGAATGATGAATTTCATTGTTTACAAGTCTACTAATGTCTTTGTTAACAAGTCTATGGGATGTCTTTGTAAACAAGTCTGAGGGATGTCATTGTACACAAGTTAGAGGAATGTCATTATATACAAGTCGGAGGGATGTCATTGTATACAATATAAAAAAGAAGATGTGGTATGATTGTCAATGAGACAACTTACCACAAGAGACCAAATGACACAGAAATTAACATCTATAGGTCACCGTACGGCCTTCAACAATGAGCAAAGCCCATACCGCACAGTCAGCTATAAAAGGCCCCGAAATGACAATGTAAAACAATTCAAACGAGAAAACTAACGGCCTAATTAAACAACAAAAAGACACAAAGTACAGATCTGAGAGTACTCGCAGTTACTGACAGCTAGTTCAAAGCCACTAACAAATAATAATAAAAAAAAATCATGCATCTAAGACTAAATTATCAAATCGTACACATCCAACATCCAATGGATTAAGTCTACTTAATGTTATTGTAAACAAGTGTAAAATATGTCATTGTAAACAAGTGTAAAATATGTCATTATAAACAAGTCTACTTGATGTCATTGTTAACAAGTCTACGGGATGTCATTGTATACACGTCAACGGGATGTCATTGTAAACAAATCTTAAGAATGTTATTGAAAACAAGTGTAATGGATGTCATTGTATACAAGTCTTAGGGATGTCTTGTATACAAGTCTTAAAGATGTCATTGTAAACAAGTCCTACAGATGTCATTGTAAACAAGTCTGTTTATATCTTAGGGGTGTCATTGTATACAAGTCTAAGGAATGGCATTGTATACAAGTCTGTGGGATACCAATGTAAATGAGTCCGAAGGATTTCACTGTAAACAAGTCTAAGGGATGTTATTGTATACAAGTGTAAGGGATGTCATTGTATACAAGTCTTAGGGATGTCTTTGTAAAAAATTCTAAAGAATGCCATTGTATACAAGTCTGTGGGATGTCATTGTAAACAAGTCTAAGGGAAAGGAATGTAATTGTATACAAGTGTAAGGGTTGTCATTGTAAACAATTGTAAGGGTTGTCATTGTAAACAAGTCTAAGGGATGCCATTGTATTCAAGTCTAAGGAATGCCTTTCCCTTTAAATTGACATGCACAAAGTCATAGAAATACCCGCCTTAAAATCTGTGACTATAGACGCGCGTTTCATCTAAATTACACTCATCCGTGGCGCTCGAATCAAAACAGTTAGGAGCCCGTTGTTAAAGGATTGTCGTTTGTTGGTGTGGTTCATACGTGTTTCTCGTTTTTTTATATAGATTAGACCGTTGGTTTTCCTGTTTGAATTGTTTTACACTAGTCTTTTCGGGGCCCTTTATAGCTTGTTGTTCGGTATGGACCAAGGCTCCGTGTTGAAAGCCGTACTTTGACCTACAATTGTTAACTTTTACACATTGTGACTTGGATGGATAGTTGTCTAATTGGCACTCATACCACATCTTATTATTTATATATAATGTCATATAATAAACGAACTGAAGAACATTGAATAACTAAAAGTTTTTCATTGATAGTATTTATTACAAAAATAATAATAAAAATGATGGGACCCATGCCCAAAGTGCCTGTGATATGACAATCACGATAATTCGTTCATGCAGGTATATTAGGCCAGTTTCCTCCATTATGTGTTCCATACGGACGACATTGGCCAACATTGGTAAAGACTTAAGATTAAAAGAATTATATTTAATCATCTGAAATGATTTTTTAAATGCTGTGAAAAACGGACGTTTTGTACAAAATGTAGCATTAAGGATATAGAACAGTACGTTAATCGACGATCTCCAGATTGTTTTAACAGAAAATTCTGCATGCAACTAAAGCATTAGGAACTGTATATGACTATGAAAAAATATATATGTATCATTTATACTATAGAAATAAAACATTATATTCTGTAGATAGAAGTACACATGTTTAGATATCGCACAAATATTGAATAATCAATGTATTGTTTACCTATGTGAACACATTTATAACCCCCTTTTGCTCACACAAGAGGAAGCTATACTTAAAAATATCATTGTACTTATTTTGGTTTCCATCCACCCTGTAATTTTTTTGCTTTCAAAATTTCAAATCGATTCAAACTAAACGGTTCCTCTTTCAGTATTTCGTCTGTCATGTCCATGAAAAAATCGCCATCAATTTGTTCCGCACAGCACATTTCAGCAAATTTATCAAGCTTTACACTTTTAAGTAGATTTTCAAGTTCAATCATTGTCATGGATCTAAGATCACTCTCTGGTTGGCTAATACGTGTTATCTCTGATCTTTTTGCAGGTTCTTTATTGTCAGTTTCCGATTCTGTATTCGCTCCTTTTTTGGCTTTGACTTGCTCTGTATCTGCGGTATTAATATCATATTTAGTCTGATTATTTCTTGATGGAATAGGAGGATCAAGGTATTTCCGTTCTGGTAATGGCGGTGTTTCCTCTCTGTCTAATCTAACATCTACATATTCTCCCGAGGAGCGGTCGGATGTGGTATCGCCATCATCGATTGGATTCAAGTATTCCTCTTGAGTAGATAATCTATCGGAAGTGTGACATTCGGAATACCGGAGTTTAGTTTGCCTTGATGGTGCGTTATAACCATCTGATAATTGTTGGTTGTTACTACATGTTCTTCCTTTATCAATCGTTAGCGTTGATGTACAGAGTTCTAAATCAGCATCTGCAAATCCTGAGTCACTAGATGACATTTTATGTGCTCCAGTTTTTCCTTTAGATATGTTCATATCTGAAAAAAATATTTTGATTGATATTATTTTTATTATTTGGGATTTCACATCAAAGAATTACGCATGTTGTATCAAAGATCAATTTTAAGTAGCCTGGAAAGCTTTTCTTTTTATATCTATTTTTTTTTGAGTTTATGAGAAAGTTTAACAAATGTTGACAAGATCAGTTTTTTCCCTATAATATATTAATATATTAAATATAAAACGATTTTAAAGTTAAAATTAAGACGTCATAAGTTAAAACAGCTATATAGTAGAAAAACTTCACATAAGATTTTACTTGCGGTGCGTTGAAGTGTTTTTGAAATTACGAATCAAAATAACAAATACAAACTATAGGATATAATATTTGCATTGTTACAATTTCGTTAAATAAAGGAATAAAAATAGGTCCACAATTATCTTGACATGATTAACATTTAAAAGACTATAGAAGAATACAATAATAGAAGGGAAGTAGAAGGTATGTTTAAAGCCATTTTTCGACCCTATAATTGAAAAACATTGCTAACGAGTAATGTTTTTTTTATGGAACCTACTGGGGAAAGACGTCAGATTTTAGAACAATTTCGGTCACTGTGATGTCATAAATATGTCGAAATTGACTTATGCAAAACTTACTCTATTGACATCATGAACATTGTTGATAAAAGACAACGTAATAAAAGGTCTCATTGCAAACTTGTCAATCGAAATCAACTAATTAAACATCGTACAAGTAATACAAGTCATGATATCTATATTTCAAAAACAATGGTACACATCGATTATTATGTAACCTCAAATACCAATGAGTATATTGCATGATATTTTCAAGTAGCAGGATACAGTTTTGTTTTTCAGCCGACTCTATGAATGTACGCGTTTAATAAAAAGTAAAATAACAAAAAATACCGAACACCAAGGAAAATTCAAAACGGAAAGTCCCTTATCAAAAGCAAAATCAAAAGATCAACCACATCAAACGAATAGAAAACCACTGTCATATTTCTGACTTGGTACAAGCATTTCGTTATGTAGAAAATGGATTAAACCTGGTTTTGTAGCTAGCCAAACCTCTCACTTGTATGACAGTCACATAGAATTCCATTATATTGACAACAATGTGTGAGCAAAACAAACAGACATAATAGGTAAAAATGTCAAAAATTGGGGAACAGCAGTCGACATTGTGTTATAATCATAACCACTATAAAACCAAATAACCATTTCAACAAAGAAGAGCAAAATGGCATATAGACACTCTATATACATAGTACATAAGCATAAATGAAAGACGAGAATACAAAAATGACCATAGCAAAATAACACAATGGCGGGATGTATAAATACACAGCCACTCCAGAATTATACACCAAAATTGGACTAAACAGTAAAGGTTAAAAATATACAAAGACAAATAAAAAGAACACTACAACACGTAATTAAGATGATAAACAACGTCAGTACCTAAAATCTATACTTCAAGACTATCATGTATTATCTGTGAAGTTGATACGGAATATTTTCCGATGAACTTTTTTTTTAGGAAAAGGACGAAACGTTCTTTGACATAAGTCTGGTTCATTAACTTTCTGCTCAGACCCTGATGACGTTTTGTAAAGTCTGAGTAGCTGCTAGCTCTTGAATACCGAATGAGTTCAGAAATATATATACCATATGAAGTGAAGTTGGTATATTGGTGCTAAGGTGGGGGAAATTTATGATTTCAAAATTAAAATCGTCTCACTTGTCATAGATTCTGGTACTGAGATGATCATTTATGTCAAATTCGAGGTATAAGTCTAAAACTGAGCTTATAATAGCTTCTTGTCATTATAGGCTGTTCTCGCGTATCGATAAACGTGAAGACCGAAAGCGAAATTTTCTTTAAATTAATTAAATAAACAGATTTTTTAATTTTTTCAAATTATTTAGTATTTTTGACAATTTAAAACCATTCACAACTTTATACCATATATTTTGATATCATAGAACAATCTATTATTTTGTATACATACAACAAACCCAGTAAAAGTTTGATTTTTAGTTATACGCCAGTTACATCATACTTCAATATAGAAATTAATGCTCCTTCAACATGAGACTGTATGACATCGAATTGTAGATATAATCCCTATGGCCATGTTATTACAGTAGACCTCAACATCGTTCCAGACCGAGAGGCTGATACCTTTTTGAAAAAAGGACCAAAATAGTTTGGAAACAGTGTCGTCAGGTCATTAAGATGCTCTTTCATCCTATTGTAAAACTTGGTGTAAATATGAAAATTCGGATAAAAAATTCTCTTGATTTAAATTTGAATAAATTTATGAATATTGTGGATATTCGAACATCACATTTTGAAAATAATTTAGAAATTAGTAAAAAAAAGTCCCTAATAAACCCATTTCTAGAATAAATAAAACTTCAGGTCCTTGCAAAGCGATTTGTGTTCGTACTAACCGACAAAGCAGCCAAAAATGGACGTAAATACTACACGGACGTTCTTAAGAATGAAATAATATTGTTTTCCACAATTAGGGCCGTATGACCGTAGAGACCCAAATAGTAAACAATCATATCATTACCACATCTCAGCTTAAGACCTCCTCTGAACATTTGAATGTCAATTCTATTTATTGGCTACCTTAACTACACAAGGCATCGGTCAAATATCCTTTCATTACGGCATCTAGTGAGAGTTCTACAACTAATTGATTCGGTTGACAGTTTTTGACACTTCAATTTCTCACAATCTAATTAAACAAAAGTATTCCTATTTAATTAAAAGGTCTTTTGAAAAATTTGATTGCAAATTTATTTTCTGCAACTCATATAAACCTTTCTTAGGTAGTGAAAAAAGGTTAATATGCTAGAAATATTTACTGGAAGTGTGATCAATTGATTAAAGCTGTAATTTTCTCCTTGACAACATCTATGTACGTTTCGGCAATAAAGTTCATCAACAGGTTGTAGGTATTTTTAAGGGTAGTTATTGTGTCCATTTAATAGCAGACTTGTTTCTGTTACCATTACCGTGATAATATTGTTTCGTTAAATAATCAAAAAATCCCTAAATAACTGCCGAAATTTACGAAAAGAAACTAACTTTTAACTAAATTTAATATAAACAGCAGCAACTGCCTTTTCTGATATTTAAAACGGGAAACTGTATGCTTAAATTTAAGACAAAGGAACGATTTATGTTTCCTGTTATTGGACGATGAGGTTCCTTTGGCTCAGTACACGGTGCTTATATATCCCAACTTTGCTATGCCCATGTCTGAAAGGACGTTATAGATTTCAATGAATATAATTTGTGTATAACTGGTAAATAATTAATTCAAGGATTTCATTACCACAGGTTACTTAAAACCATTACTAAATTATATTATAGATACAAATATTTGGTTTAGAATTCTGACTGAACATGTAAAAACGTATTAATAATGGAATATCACCTTCTTATTTTTACGGTGTTGTTGTGTTTAGAGCCCGTTAATTTAGATACGATTCATGTAAGCTTATCGATCCGTTAATTAATTTAACATTATACTAAGATCTTTACGTATTGTTTTTATCGGTACTATAATTGATTTTTATTGTCAATAATTAAAAACATAACTAAATGTGTATTGCTTTACATCCATTAACTGTTAACGTCCTACATCCTTTCGATACTAATATTTTGGCATGGAACAAAGCCATGTTTTATGCCCCACCTAAGGGCATTATGTTTTTCGGTCTGTGCGTCCGTTCGTTCGTTCGTTCGTCCGTCCGTCCGTCTGTCTGTCCCGCTTCAGGTTAAAGTTTTTGGTCAAGGTAGTTTTTGATGAAGTTGAAGTCCAATCAATTTGAAACTTAGTACACATGTTCCCCTTTGATATGATCTTTCTAATTTTAATGCCAAATTAGAGTTTTGATCCCCAATTTCACGGTCCACTGAACATAGAAAATGATAGTGCCCGCTTCAGGTTAAAGTGTTTGGTCAATGTAGTTTTTGATGAAGTTGAAGTCTAATCAACTTGAAACTTAGTACACATGTTCCCTATGATATGCTCTTTCTGATTTTAATGCTAAATTAGAGTTTTGACCCCAATTTCACGGTCCACTGAACATAGAAAATGATTGTGCGAGTGGGGCATCCGTGTACTATAGACACATTCTTGTTCTAGATAGTTTATAACGTCTTTACGCTAAAGCCATTGGATGTGTACTTATTCATTTTTTTTGTCTTAGAAACATGATTTTTCAATTAGTTATTATTGGCCTGGAACTAGCTTAAAGTAACTGTGAGTACTCTCAGATCGTTACTTTGTGTTTTTAGAGTTTTTGTTAAGTATTTTTGTGCTTTGTATCGATCTGATGAGTCAAGCCCTTTCCAATTAATTTTTAGTTGAATTTTGTCCTTGTGTTTTACTGTCACGACTTAAGGGCGTGGTTGTGCGGCCGGAAACATGAATCACCCGCCAAATTTTGAATGTTCATGTCAGGAGCCTGTACTTCAGTGGTTGTCTTTTGTCGCTGCAAAATATATTTGTGTTTCGTTTATTGTTTTGTACAGTTTGTTCTTATTGTGTGCTGTTGCACCACTATCCCAAGTAAGGGGAGGGTTTGGCACTAACACACATGTTTATCTCCGCCACATTCTGTATGTGCCTTTTGGTTTGCCAAAACCTTGCAGTGGTTTTCGTTTGTTGTATGTTTTACTTGTTTACTAAAGGTTTTGTTTATTGTTGAAGGCCGTACGGTGACCTATAGTTACTAAAATCTACGTCATTTGCTCTCTGGTGGATAGTTGTCTGATTGGCAATCATACCACATCTTCTTGTTTGATATATATATATATATATATATGACTTAAAATTGCCCTTTTACATTTTTTTCTTTTGCAAAATGGAATACGAGCCAAGGCCATACACAAGGATATATCATATTAACTTTAATATCTTTTATAAACCATTTTGTAGCAAATAGACTTGGCTCCTGTCCAAATGATATTGACATGCTTTCAAAATCATGATATTGTAGAAGATTTTGCAGTTTTACATTAAAACAAGATGTTTGAAGCCCTCAAGTAAATAAAAAGGCAAAAACGATAAAACGTAAATAGTGATGTGTGGCAGACTTACTGGTGAACATTTGAAGAATGTGATTTGATTGAAGTATCATACGTTTTGTTGTCCGAATTGTCCAAAAAGTACAATAAAACATGTTATTTCATTCAGGTTTGTATAGGTAATGATACCTGTTGTCCTACCTTAAGTTGTGTTCTCTTTGCAACATAATCTAACATTGGAAACAAAATCGGTACTTGGAAACGGACTATTCAAATGATCCAAAAGAAATGGCCTTATAAAAAACTCATAATAAATATCATGCTTATAATTTTGTGCGCCAGACGCTCGTTACGTCTTCAAAAGACTCATCAGTGACGCTCGAATGAAAAAAAAGTTTAAGCTTTGCAATTCGTGTAGTGAACCTTATATAGTGAGCCTTTCATAGCTGACTGTGTGGTATGGGCTTTGCTCATTGTTTAAGGCTGTACGGTGACCTATAGTTGTTAATATCTGTGTCATTTGGGTTCTTGTGGATCGTTGTCTGATTGGCAATCATACCACATCTCCTTGTTTGATATATATATATGACTTAAAATTGCCCTTTTACATTTTTTCTTTTGCAAAATGGAATACGAGCCAAGGCCATACACAAGGATATATCATATTAACTTTTATATCTTTTATAAACCATTTTGTAGCAAATAGACTTGGCCCCTGTCCAAATGATATTGACATGCTTTCAAAATCATGATATTGTAGAAGATTTTGCAGATTTACATTAGAACAAGATGTTTGAAGCCCTCAAGTAAATAAAAAGACAAAAACGATAAAACGTAAATAGTGATATGTGGCAGACTTACTGGTGAACATTTGAAGAATGTGATTTGATTGAAGTATCATACTTTTTGTTTTCCGAATTGTCAAAAAAAGAACAATAAAACATGTTCTTTCATTCAGGTTTGTATAGGTAATGACACCTGTTGTCCTACCTTAAGTTTTGTTCTCTTTGCAACATAATCTAACATTGGAAACAAAATTGGTATTTGGAAACGGACAATTCAAAGACCCACAAGAAATGGCCTTATGAAAAACTCATAATAAATATCATGCTTATAATTTTGTGCGCCAGACGCTCGTTACGTCTACAAAAGACTCATCAGTGACGCTCGAATGAAAAAAAAGTTTAAGCTTTGCAATTTGTGTAGTGAACCTTATATAGTGAGTCTTTTATAGCTGACTGTGTGGTATGGGCTTTGCTCATGGTTGACGACTGTACGGTGACCTATAGTTGTTAATTTCTGTGTCATTTCGTCTCTTGTGGATAGTTGTCTCATTGGCAATCATACCACATCTTCTTTTTATACTTATGTTATCAACTGTATATGAAGAAGATGTTTTCTATCAAATGTTCCCTTAAGGACCACAGCACAATATGTTTAAGACATCATGTCATACTAAATGAAAAAAACAAACAAGTCTACCCTACCAAAAAGGAGGATACTCCAGCTGTATTTATATATATAAATACATATGAAAACATTCCTTTTAAATTAATGGAAAGAATATTCGAATCTTTTAATCGTTTCGAACGAAGTTAATCCATAAAAGCTCACGTAGTGTTATTTCCATTTGTAATGAATTGTCAAGTAGTTGAAGATTAGATAAAGGTAGATTGTGTGTTATTTGATTGATGCAGGAAGTATTAACAATTTATTTGATTAATTGCAAATTAGGTCACATCTTATCTAGTAATAGTACACTTTTATATAATAACTAATAACAAAAAGAGTTCCCTTTTTATCATTTTTTCACTACTTATTCTCTATCTATTTAACTTACTTTGTGATCAACATAGGAATAGTAGGGTAAAGGATTTTTAGCAAGACTTTCAGAAAGGGGAGGGGCAGGTGCAAATCTGACAGTTCTATTGGAATATGGAGCGACTGTCAACAGATATTTTTACGAAACTAAGAACATGATTTTCAAAAAGTGGGCCGGTGAAAACAATACACGTTTATCGCATAAATTTTAAGAATAATGTTATACAATAACCAAGAAGATAACATGGATCTTATTTTAATTTACGAGCCCTTAAAATAACATGCCCGTAAAAATTGTATGTGATTTACGGTTTGGTATAATATTTCCTCAGGTGCAGACAAACTTCTAAACCAAATATTTGAATCTATGAAAAAATACGTAGATTTGTGGTAACGACTTTCAATTGATTGTATTGGCATCAACAGAACGCATGGTCGTTTGTGTTACTAACTGGATAGCAATATATGGTAATTATGTGTTATACTATTGAAAATACAAGCATTTTTAGTCTTGATAAACACATTATTCAAAGTTCTTTCAAAAATACTTAATTGATAACGTTTCGAAATAAACTTTTACAAAGAACCATTAAGTTAACATGCATCGTATATCTTAACTAGTCTTTTACACTCTAGCAATAGTTAATTCCATTTTTTTTTATAACAAAATTAAACAACAAGTTCTTAAAAAAATTGCTTTGAAACGAGAGAAAATGATGCAACAAGTAACTTATTTGAAACAGAGCTGCAATGAAAATTGAAGGTTTTTTGTGTAGTTTACAAGATACCTTCAAACGTTCAGAAGAGGTTTTATGATAATAATTAATAAGGCTATGATTGTCTTTTATTCTACACTGAGCCTACGGTCGTGAATGTAGAATAATTGATAATTTCATTCCTAAGAACTTTCGTGTGTTATTAACGTCACACCACTACCAAATTGTTGTTTGCTGTTTCGGCCGATACGAACGCAAATCGCTTCGCCCGTTCATGTGTTCTTAATGCACTTTAAAATTAGATTCTTGTTAAGTTAAATTTAGACAGCTGGATGATCGATAAATTTTTATTACAGTATTGCAAAGCACGAAGTCATAAGGTTATGCTACAAAAGATCATAGGTCTTACCTATATAATGCTGTCGTCCTGCTTTTAATCTAGATACTGGGGTAGAACACTTTCTACCAAGCACAGAAAATACCACTTGGTCACCTTGTGATTTTTCAAACAAAAATATTGTGGAAAACTTCTCTCCAATCTGACTGTTGTCTATGCGTCTTCTGATTTTCACTGCTGTTGGGTCGACTAATTCACAACACTTAACTTGGTGTCGCAGTTCAAATCCTGATAACGGAGGACCAGTTTTGAGTTCGGATGTAAACAATAGAAAATAGTTTGTTGTAACTGACTGCAAATCGAGTTCATTAGAACATAGGTACGGTAATCCTAATCTGTATAGACTTTCGTCAACTAGTCTGACTTGCCGTGGTAGAGGAAAGTTTTCTAACAACTCCCGTGGTGTGTAATGATTTGGGTCTTCAAGGCCCTGGAAGGTATATTTACATGTAGACGGTATCTGAATTTCACAGTTATTACGGTTACAAAGCACAACATTTGACGTTTTCGTGGTTATCCTAACATTGGTATAAGTCTGTTCTCCACTTTTGGCTATTGCACCTGAAGATGTTTCTATACACTGTATCGTCTTAAATTCGAGTTTCTCGCCACTGTTAACTCTGACTGTACAGTCCTCTTTATCCACTGCAAAAAAATCATTATTGCAGGAAAAAAAGCGAGGATATGCACGACACAACTCGTCAATCGTTTTATATGATTCCCCATTGCAATGAATGTCTGCAAATAATTCCTGATTTCCAGGGTTTAAATATATTTGTTCTTGTCTGTCTGTAGTTTTTGTACTGCTATGAACATTAACATTTAAGTAATCTCCATCACCAGCACAAAGTACTAGTTGTTCACATAGTAAAACACAGATTTCTGTTCCAGCAGGAACCTGTTCTCCTGTTACTGTTACTATGTTACAATCCAATATAACGTTCTGTGGACACAGTTTTCCTTGAACATCTGACAAATCCATTGCTTATGTGCACCCACAGGTCTGTTGGTGTCTCGCTCTACACATATACATATGTATATATTTATATATCTCACTTTATATATCTACATATATATTATAATTATTCGAATTCCTATTCTCTTTCTTAGTGATCTGTAAACGACGAACAAAATACATGTAGTAAGTATGTCTTAATAGACCAGGAAGAATATATATATATATATATATATATAACTGTTATCTATAAAGTAAGGTAAATCCAGTGATGTTTACAGTTGTTATGTCTTGTCTTGTATGTTGTACATTTATCACAAGATCATAAGAAAACGTATCATTTTATAACAGGTGTAGAAGAAAACAGGAAGTGATGATCTAGTTATTTTTAGCTTTTTGTTCGCCCTTTTGAATTAACACATAAAAGGCATATCGTACAAGTATATGTATACTGTATTTTCAAAAGAATGACTAATAAAGCGTTAACTATAAACAACAGTTAAGCTATTCAAAAAAGTATATACTCGTAAATGCAATAATTGATAAAGTAAAACATATTGAATTATGTTGAATTATGTTAATTTTCCTTTTCATCTCTTCAGTAAGTGACACTTGATCATGATGATGGCTTGAAAATTTCCTTTAAAGTAATGAGTAGTTTCTTGGTACTTATGATACAATCACGGAACTCGGCTTACGATATATAAAGTGGTAATTGAGAAAAGGATAGTATATAAAAACAAATTAACAAAAAATATAACATAAATACCGAACTCCAAGGTAAATTCAAAAAGGGGAAGTCCATAAAAACTGACAAAATAAAACGTTATGAACAAACATAACGAGTGGAACGCAACTGTCATATTTCTGACTTTAAGTTGGTACAGACATTTTCCGAAGAAAATGGTGGGTTAAACCTGGTTGGACCTACATTCTTTACAGTTTCTTTTATCTTAAGATTATGAGTTTTAACTATAGAATAGTTCAACTTAATTATACATTGTACATTAAAGAAATACAAACCCGTCAAGAAAAGTTTTCAGTCAAGAAACCACAAAATTTCGAAATGGGGACTAAGCCATTTTAAAACAAACAATTACAAGCTCTTTGAGAGCTTTCAAAATCGACTGTATACATACTTACATATATACTGTACAAACACGCTTCCTACATATTGAAGCAGATGAAAAGTACATACATGACAAGACAAGTACTTAGTTCATACACGCAATACAATTACATTAGTTGTAGAAATAAGAGAAAATCACTATGAGCTTAAAAGAACATGTATTTTAAAGATATATATATTGATATATATTGAATGCTGTACAGAGTAATACAAGTGAAGCACAACAGGCATGCTGCACACAACACTAGTACTAAACTGACATGAACTGCCATTTGGATCCCATGCTTCAATTTGAACTGTTACACTGATGTTTCCTGTCCATAATGATTTCGTAGCACATTTCCAATTTGTATGACCCTGTATCTTGAAGAACTTCGAATTCATATCCTACCTGATTGATCTAACCCCAAGTTCATCTGATGTTTCGTGTCCTGATTTAATACATAGTTGTAAATTGAGTTTTAATGTTGATAAGGCATAGCAGATACCTAGGACATATTTGTGATTATTTGAAAAATTATCAATGTAACTTCGCATTTTTGCAGAGTGAGTCTTGATTTTTGATGCAGTTTTTATATGTTTTATTGTTATCTTATAGTTCGTTTCTGTGTGTGTTGCATTTTAGTGTTTCTGTTGTGTCTTTGTTATCCTCTTATATTTGATGTGTTTCCCTCAGTTTTAGTTTGTAACCCGGATTTGTTTTTTCTCAATTGATTTATGAATTTCGAACAGCGGTATACTACTGTTGCCTTTATTTATGGTATACATTGTATACAAATCTAAGGGACGTTCTTACTTTTGAGGTTCTAAATTGCAATATAAAACTCATCAAAGATATCACGCTTATGTTTTGTTAATGCAGATGCATGTTTCGTCTTCAAACGACTCACTAGTGGCGGTATAATCAAAACAGTTGGAACGCTCTATTAAATACGAGTCGAAGAACACTCTAAAACCGAAGTAAGTTGGCTTATATGCAATCAGATAGTGTATCTATTAAAAAATATTATGCTTTGCAAAACCGAATATATCAATATTTTCTTAAGACTACAACATTTTTTTTATATAGCACAAAACTTATTGTATATTTAAATATGACGTGTTACTCTTGCCTTATAAATAACAGCGTGATAAAAAATCTCGATATATCTATACTTAGAACTGACTCAGAGATGCAAATATTAATTGCATTTACAATTTACCTCCGTCGTATATCCACATGTATCGTAAACAAGTCGATTTCTGCTTAGATTAAAAGTCCTACCAATGTGATTATTTAAGGAGATTTGTTAATATATTTTCACTATTTGTAGTTTGACATTTCATTTTGCCTGCCATTATTAATCAGACCAATTTTGAAAGATAACTGAAGTAATGCTTTATGAAATACATGTCCGTATGAAATACATGTCCATATGAAATACATGTCTGAATGAAATACATGTCCGTATGAAATACATGTCTGTATCAAATACATGTCTGTATCAAATACATGTCTGTATGAAATACATGTCTGTGTGAAATACATGTCTGTGTGAAATGCATGTCTCTATTATGAAATATATGTCCGTATGAAATACATGTCTGTATGAAATACATGTCTGTATGAAATACATGTCCGTTTGAAATACATGTCTGTATGAAATACATGTCTGTATGAAATATATGTCCGTATGAAATACATGTCTGTATGAAATACATGTCTGTATGAAATACATGTCCGTATGAAATACATGTCTGTATGAAATACATGTCTGTATGAAATACATGTCCGTATAAAATACATGTCTGTATGAAATACATGTCCGTATGAAATACATGTCTGTATGAAATACATGTCTGTATGAAATACATGTCCGTTTGAAATACATGTCTGTATGAAATACATGTCTGTATGAAATATATGTCCGTATGAAATACATGTCTGTATGAAATACATGTCTGTATGAAATACATGTCCGTATGAAATACATGTCTGTATGAAATACATGTCTGTATGAAATACATGTCCGTATAAAATACATGTCTGTATGAAATACATGTCTGTATCAAATATATGTCCGTATGAAATACATGTCCGTTTGAAATACGTGTCCGTATGAAATACATGTATGTGTGAAATACATGTCCGTATGAAATACATGTCTGTGTGAAATGCATGTCCCTATGAAATACATATCCGTATGAAATACATGTCTATATGAAATATATGTATGTATGAAATGCATGTCCGTATGAAATACATGTCCGTATGAAATATATTCCGAAGAAACTCTGCTGATATTAGAGTGCAATAAGGCATGCATATATCGTTTTCTATACGAGAGAAGCAAAATACCAAAGTGATATTCAAACGCATAAGTCGAAGACAAATTTACAACGCCATGGAAAAAAACCTGAAAAAGGACGCAAAAACGAACAACAATCTACAAATCAAATGTTGCCATAAGTATTAACTTGACAGTACACGATTATTACTGCTTCCTGAAAGATAACATAAATATTCATCCTATAATAAACTCATTTTAAGTTTCAGTGTCGTACTGTGAAGTGAAAGGCGAAAAGAAAGTTAAAACTAATTGTCCCTCCAGTCACACACGATGTGGGTTTTTCTTTATCAAAGAAATTTCACTGAATGAATTTTTAGATGGATATAAACGATATAAATGACTTTGATAGAAACATATTCAATAATGAGATGACTTTCACTTGCTTTTAAAATCAATGCAGTTTGTTAGTGTTTAACCAATATCAGGATCACAATTGCTCCTTTTCAAATGAAATAAAATATACAACATTTCATAACGCAACGAAAAATGGATTAACTGAATGATCAGTTTTATCAGGATGATTATATCAATTATCAATTTTATAAAATTAAACAAAAAACCACTTTATATGTCTTATGTCCGAAGCTTTTTCTGATATTACCTTCATCAGGAATGCTGCAAAACAACAATTTGAAAGCCGAGGATAACGTTGTTTAAGTTAAAGGTAAGTGTTATACGTGTGCGATAAACGTCTTAGATTTAAAATCATTGTATAATACATAATATTGTTATATTGATATATTGCACACCAGTTGTATGGAATATTATTCATACTGGAAGTTCACAGGAATGTTCAAAGTTTTGATATAACAATATGTTCAATGTTTCTAGCCTTCTTTCTCCATAATTTTGTGTTATATGTACCTGCATACCTTTCAGATTCAATCATTGACTGACTTCACATTCCTCAATCATTTTGTTTCAGTACTAGCATTTTACTACAAAACACTTTTGGTATGAAGGTCAAGTTGCATTTTCTTGTTTACTGAAGGTTTCTTTTTTTTTGGTAACCAGTACATCAATCATGCTACTTAATCTTGAATGACCATTTTAAATTTATGCATTTTCTATAAAAATTAGAGAACTTTAATACTGAGTGTGTACAAATGTAAAACGAAATTAAATTGATGATTTCTTATAATTTCATGATGCATTATCTGCTTTTGTTTCATTTATGAATTTCATTGGAAATCAACTGGAAGCTTCGCAATTATAACAGAATTACCAATCTTTTTTATGTCGATTATCTATATTTATAGAACCCGTTTACAGTAGTATATACAGAAGACAAGGCCATTATAAGATATGCAATGGTCTTGTCCCACAATGTGTGTGTGTTTTAATTCCCCAAACTATACAAAGTACAACTGATTATCCACTGCGTAATGGCATTGATTTAATAGCACCGCTTTGTAGACTCTCCTTAACAAATTGTACATTTATTCCATCGTATATCAGAGAGTCGAACAAACTTGTAATTGGGTTTGAACAAGCTTTCGCTAACTGTGAGTACTCCTTTTTCGGTGATTTGTGTCAATTGTTTTTATGTTTGCAGTGTTTGTGCCTCGTACCGATTTTTTTAGTTAAGTCAGTTGATATTGATTTTTACATTTTGTTCCAATGTTGTGTTGTAACAACACACAAGAACTCTAACCACTCTCATATTAGGGGAGGGTTGAACGCTCATTATGTGTTTAACCCCGCCACATTCTTTATGTGTTTAACCCCGCCACATTCTTTATGTGTCTGTTCCATGTCAGGAGCCTATAGTTCAGTATTTGTCGTTGGTTCATGTCTGTCATATTTTTTTTTCGTAAAATGTTTTGTTATAGACTAGGTTAATAGTATTCTCGTTTGAATTGTTTCACATTTTCGTGTCGGGTCCTTTTATAGCCGCATTGATGAAGGTCCTATAGTGGCC